AAAAAAGAAAAAGCATTTCAAGAGCAAAAGTATAAAGAAAGATCAATGCATCCATATCAAAATTTGGAACGAACCTTGGAGATTATGTCATCAAGGACGGCGAGATGGGTATGGCAGTGCTTGCAACTATACACGTTTCCCTCCAGGGTGACTTGGAACAACCTTCCCATTTTCCTTATCCACCGATCGATCCAACTACCTTCTGACAGCCACCCACAACTTTAGTCTATCTCTCCTTCGAAACAGAAAACCAAAAAAATCCATATCTACATCAGAAGATCAAACACAATAGCAAAAAATGAAAAAAAAAAAAAAAAAGAAGATGAAATTTGAAGAAGGATCGAGAAAGAGCAGGAACCAGAGATCGGAAAAAAGCAATGCAGATGGGGTAGTGCCGGAGAGGAGAGGGAATGATGCTTACCGGCAGAGAGGAGCAGTTACAGAGAAAGCGAAAAAGGGCGATCGAGTAGCGACATTTGTGCCAATGACCTCCTCCATGTGTAATGTATACAGCGGGGCAAATATTTAGTGCGCCAAATGAGAAATGACTTTCCTCCGATTCTCAATTCCTTGGTCATTATTAATTAATAGATTCATTTATTACTTGGAAATATATTCCGCCGAAAATTTATTAGCAGCTCTTTTTCTCCACCAACTCCGGTTGAAGCGAACTTGTTCCAATAAAAATGGAATATTTATGATATGATGTGATTTTATAAATTTATAATTATAAAACATAATTTTATAATTTATTAATTTATTAATTTTTTTTATTTAAGTTACTGTGTTATTATATATAGAGGTAGTGTTTAATTTAGAGTTTAAGAAATAATTATTAATTATTGACTCTAATTAAATAGTTTATATATTTTAAATTATAAATAATAGTTATTAATAATAAAATATTAATTGTTAATTATTAATTATTTTAAAACAACTAATCCAAAAACCATTATAGTTGTTTCTCTTTTTTTTTTTAACCAGAAGAAATTAATACAAATAGTTATATTAAGTAAACGTATAATTCATAAGATTCGAACGTATAATTCACA